TCAAATTTTCTAAATCCAAAACAAACTGTATTCACTTTTGTCGTAAATACAAACCTCACAAGGATCCAGATTTATTTTTAGATGGTACTCCTATCAAGGTAGTAGAGGAGGCCAAATTCCTGGGCCTCATATTTGACCGTCATCTCACATTCTTACCACACATTAAATATCTCAAGGCAAAGTGCCTGAAGGCTCTCGACTTGTTGAAAGTCGTTTCAAATTCCGAGTGGGGAGGGGATCAGACCACCCTCCTTCACTTGTACAGATCATTAATACGCTCCAAACTGGACTATGGTTCCATTGTCTATGGTGGAGCCTGCAAAAGCAATTTAGAAAAATTGGACACTATACACCATCAAGGCCTAAGACTTTGTCTTGGAGCTTTTAGGACCTCTCCCGTGGACAGTTTGTATGTGGAGGCCGACGAACCTTCACTCGAACTGCGCCGCATTAAACTTTCACTGCAATATATCACTAAATTGCACTCAAATACATCTAATCCAGCGTTCAATTGTGTTTTCCACCCTCAATATGAAAACCTGTTTCGAAATCTATCAAAATTGGTTCCACCACTTGGGATCAGAATTCAACCACACATCACTGCAGCTAAAATAGACTTAAATATTATATCACCCCACCGTCTTCTGTCTTCTCCTCCCTGGCAGATGGTGAAGCCAGAAGTAGACCTCACTCTAACCAATCTAAAAAAGTCGGCTACCAATCCTTTGGTATATCAACAATCATATAACCAATTACGCTCCAAATATAATTCTCACAGGTCCATTTTTACAGACGGGTCCAAGGATGGTGGCAAAGTTGCAAGTGCCACCGTCGTTGGATCCAGAACTGTCTCCTCAAGAATCCCAGATTTTAGTTCAATTTTTACTGCTGAGGCCAAAGCTATCCTAACAGCTTTGACCTATATTAAACAACAAAACCAATCTAAAAATTTCATCATCTTCTCTGATTCGTTATCTTGCCTTCAGGCACTTAAAAGTGTCTCACCATATCACCCTATTATCCTTGACATTTTAGATCTCTATAATGATCTTTCCACTGGCCAATGTGACATCGTCTTTTGCTGGTTGCCAAGTCATGTAGGCATAACAGGTAACTCAAAAGCCGATGCTGCTGCTAAAGCAGCTCTTGACAAACCGTTATCTCCACTTCGTATCCCGTACAGTGATTTCAAACCTACCATCAAATCTCATACTCGGGATCTTATGCAAAAGAGGTGGGACACCCAAGTAGGAAGCAATAAACTCCACGAATTGAAACCAACAATCGGTCATACCTACTTGGGTTGTCAGTCAAGACATGACGAGGTCGTTTTACGACGGTGTCGTATTGGCCACAGTCGGTTTACACACGAATATCTGCTTAAGACAGATGAGGACGAACCTCCTAAGTGTATCCCTTGTGATGAAAGGTTCACCGTTAAGCATATATTGCTTGACTGTGTGGACTTTGCAATCGCAAGGGATTCACATTATCAAAGCATAAATCTAAAAGATCTCTTTTCCCGTGTCAGCGGGCATCTCATCATAAATTACTTGAAAGAAATTGGTCTGTATAATAAATTTTAAATTTGTATGTGAATAATTAAATGCTTGTTTTTAAATTTGGTGTGATGCTATTAGCAACTGACATTATTAAAGGCTCTGTCCAGGAGGTTAACGTAGCGTAAAAATATTGTCCCCTGTGTGACACGTAATCCTATAGTAATTGATGTAACTATCATCAACCAGTGTTTTAAGCCAACTCATTGATGAGTATTTTTTAATATTGGCTAGTATTGTGCACAACCACCAGTGGCTAAAGTGATGACGTAAATCCTGCTAGGGTATCATGCAGGAAGCAGAAGTACTGTAAGTCCCCATGATCCCCAGCGAGGTGGCCTAGCTTTGGTTACTGGTGGCCTATAGCCTGTTTTTTAAACTGTATTAATGATATTGTAATGCTCATATGTTTCATCAATTGTTTTTAAATATAGTGTGCTCCAATATGTTTGATAAAGTGTTTTTAAATATGTCATTGCATAAATGACTTAATTGTATATATATTAGCTTGGTCTCGTCGCTATATGGCTGAAATAATGCCGATGCGACGTTAAATTTTAACTCACTCACTCACTCACAACACGCAAAGTGTCAGCCTGATCTCTCTTCGTTATGTTTTATGTTTCCCTCCACAATCCAGCATTTTACGGTACATTATGTCCAGAGGCGCTTGCCCAAGTTAATAACACTTTCTTTAAACAGTATCCTAGCATGAGGTGCTTTATGCGTTGTGATCTATCCACAGAAAGGAACAACCCTCATATATGTATAGGTCCATGAGTATTAGCAACAAAATAACGCGCAGTTTTTCAAGTTATTCATTTTCACATGCAAAGGTTTGTGAAGTGTTCATTTTGACAAACGCGGGAACGTATGACACAATTCTTTAAATGCTGTAACCCTGATCAAACAAAAATTATAGTCGTATGACGGTTTTTTTAAATCTTCTAAAGAAGAAGTATAACAACGAAACCTCAAGTTTAATATGTTGTTACACCGCTTAAGAGTTTGTTCCTTGAGTGTACGGGGTAAATGTTAAAATGTTTATGATGATAGAAGGAAACTTATATCCTTAATGTACACTTTGCTACTGTAGTGTAGGTGCGCGTTTCACTGTGCATGTCGTGTTCGCTGCGTGAATAGTGACAGCTATTTTATGTGTAACGTCTGTCCTGAATAGCGTTTGTTTGTGCCACTCGACACAACATTCCAGTTGAACTCCCTCTTACATCCATTCAAGTATGTGCCTTCCTATTCAAGATGCGCATTGATGAAGTCGAAAAGTTGACAAGGAAGTAAGATAAGCGTTGTCTACTTGAGTATAAAACACACATAAACATGTCATTTGAGCTACCACCCAGAATAGAAGCTTATCGCATGGAGCTTCTGTCATGAACTGGAACATCAACTTAAAACATATGTAATGGTGCTATTAGCGCTCTGAAGATCGAGGCAACTTTACATGAGCGGTAACAACATATTAATTGTTAGCTCATTCAATCAACAAACAAATATATGATAGTAAGATCCGTTGTTACATATGCATGGTCATAAGGGTTTTTTAATATCACAAGAATGATTATATCAATGACACAAGAATGATTATATCAATGACATACATTTCTCATGCATACATGCTTTGTATCGTGAATTAGTGAGTACGTGAGTGAGTGAGTGTGGTTTAATGTCGCTTTTTCGCCGTTTCACAGTGGGGGACACTAGAAATCGGTTTCATACATTGCATATTGACCACACATTTTCGTAAGTGGCGACTAACGGGGTCGGGTGGGCTAGCTCAGTGATTGCATGTCATCGTGTCCCAATTTCGTAATACGATGGTCAATCACTGATTTTCTAGTCATGACTCGATTATATATATATATATACCGTCGTCATAAAGCTGGAATAGTGCTGAGTGCTGAGTTTGACAAACGAGAAAAAGAAAAAAGATTTATGTTATGAAGGGAATTGTTCTGAAATAGCCCTCAAAACTCCCGAAAGATCTGGACAGTGTCAGCGGAGACGTCTCTTCATCTTTCGGTGTATGTCACCTTCTGTGTAAACTTTTGTTTGGTATGCTTATTGTTTATATCCTAAACAGCCTCGTGAAAACCTGGGTTAGTGTGCACCAACATTTACATGTAGATCAACCGGCTGTTTACGTGTTAAGTGGCTCTGTTTTGCTAAATTTGGCAGAATTTGTTTTCAGATTTCTTTGGACAAGCACATGGACGATGTTTCTGGTATATGTTCTACTACTTGTCTCATTGCCGGACTCCTCACAAGGTAGGTCCTTACTACGCGGAATCATACAGTTTGCGCATCGTTTTTTCGATTCATACCTCAATTAACCGAAAACAATACACAGTCAATCCTTTAGTAAAAGACATAATTATCAAGGTATCATATTGTGCCTAGGTGAGGATTGTATATTGTTTTTATAACAACATCACAGGTGTACAAATAGGTGATTGTAGGGAAACGTTAAACAAGAAACATGCTCAGATATTGGATACTCGCAGTCATTCTATTTGTTTCTACAGAAGATTGTCACTGTCAGAATGGATGCACGAATTTCCCTGGTTCTCCTTGCCCAGGAACATTGTGCCAACCAGACTGGTTTGGGAGTTACTGCCAAAAGCGTGAGTAAAAGTACAATATAAATATTTTCATTCAGAGAGCTGTAAGCAGACATCTGGTAAGCACATAAAATGTGCAAATGTTGTATCATGAAATACTGTGGAATAATATGAGTTATTATTGATATACATCTATACAAATTATGGATGTATCAAATTAGTAATTTATAGGCACCTCATATTCAGGATATGGGTCGAATTTAATATTCAGTCAGCCGAATCACCAAAATAGCACGCAATGACCTGTACCTAATTTACATAATTTGTAATCAGATATATGTAGGTCGGGTGACCAACAATTTACCAAGCAACGGTCACATGCAAATTCTAAACATATCCTAGAACTGGTTTAAAAACGAGAACTTTAGCAAATGTTGAAGTAGCCTTTTGCAAAGAAGGAAAAGAATGTCAACAATGAGATTATTTACTTGGACGATATGAAAACGTACGTTTTGTCTTCGTTTTGATTTTGAGCTATACCTTTTGATACCTCTTTTGCAAATAAATGTTTCTAAGTTTAATTGTTCAATGTGTTCGGCATTTTAAGTGCGGACTTTGCTAGATTGATAATGCTGCCTAGGACGACTGTATTTTATTATTTGATCAATTTCGTTAAAGGCAACATAGCACGTGGTAAGTCGACACGGCAGAGTAGCGAATTGCAAGGATTTGGTGGTCCCTTTCCATCTGACAAAGCCGTCGATGGCAATACTGACCAAACGTTTGATGATAGAAGTTGTACGCACACAGACGACACGACGTCCACAGGAGCATGGTGGCGTGTTGACATTGATACCACATTGGAGATCAGACGGATGAGAATATATCTCCGTAGTGACTGTGAGTCTGACATATGTTTAAATAATATACATCCTGTTCACGAGGAGGGGAACCCACTCGTTGCGTCATTTAGGCGTGGCAGGATCTTAAGCCTCCATCCCTGAATATTACACAATTGGTCGCTTTCTTAAGAGATTTTATTGTTTGTTTTTGAACGCCCACTTAGCAATATTAAAGTTATATGACGTCAGTCTGTAAATAGTCTAGTGTCGACCAAACAATCCATTGATTGACATCATGAGCATCGATCTCCGCAATTTGGAGGCGACGACATGCATCAAGCAAGTCATACATATGACATAAAGTCATTTCTTATGTAACCCAAGGAATGTCTTGAAAATATACCACATCACAATATTACTCGCCTTGTTCTACAAGTTGTGCTTGTTTTTTTCTAAATTCAACTTGTTCAGACGCCATAGTTCGAAATTCATAATATTTACAATGATCAACATCAAAAGGATAAATTCAAACATGCATGTATGCCGCTACAATACCACCAGGACCTAATCGGGGTTACACATTATACCTATACACATCTTGTATCATCACATAATGTAAGTAGTCACAGTGCAATCCATTGATTGACATAATGAGCATCGAACTACGCTATTGGGATGCAATGACATTCATAAAGCAAGTCAGCATTTCTGACCCTCGATCCTGTTAGTTGCCTTTTACGACAGGCATGGGTTGCTGAAGACCTATTTTAACCCGGATCTAACACGAGAAGTTAAGTAGGTGAACCCAGTCTGACGACACAGACTATGTACATACATATGATATAAAGTGAATTCGTATTCTTATACAATTATCAACACAAGACGGATAAAGTCCAACATGAATTTATATCACAACATATACATGTACCACATGGCCTTATCGGGGCTACACATTATATCCATATACATGTTGTATCATCACATAATGGGGGACACGGGTGGCCAAGTCGTCTAAGGTGACGCGAGTAGCGTCCCTTTGGCACGCCATAAACCTATGATTTTTGGTTCGAATCCCGGTTCGCCCCAAGTATGTTTCTAGGTTTGTCAGCACCATACCCGTGCTCGTGGGTTTCACCGAAATGGTAAACATCTGAGACCTGCATCACTTCGGGCTTTCCTCCCACATAAAGCTGACACACCGTGATATAACTGGAATAATGTTAAAAGCGGCGTTAAACCCAACTCACTCACTCATCACGAAATGATTGTTGTTCAACGCAACTCTGGCCTTCAGGTGACGGTTGGTGACCAACTGTGTTACTCATTGTCTGGACAACAGACTGTTCTAAATATAGAGTGTTAATATATACTGTTAAAAACGGCGTTAAACCCAACTCACTCACTCACTCACTCATCACATAATGATTGCTGTTCACAGTGACTGATCGCAACGTGGGCCTTCAGGTGAAGGTTGGTGACCAACTGTGTTACTCATTGTCTGGACAACAGACTGTTCTGAATATAGAGTGTGGCGAAGCTTTGAGTGGTTCATCTGTCTCAATACGTGTCACTGGAACGATACTGACATTATGTGAGGTGCAGATCTTCCGTGAGTTATCATGGTGACATGTCATATTACTTTTTTTCAATACATGTTATTATTTTATAGCATTGAATAAACACATCGGAATATAAACACGAACATAGGATAATGATAATGAGAGCTGTCTTTAAATGATAACATTATAAGTAATAGATACTATGTTTAATGACAGTACTGTATTGGGGTATAGAAGGACAGTTGCAAGACCAAAGAACGAGGCGAAAAAAACGTTCCATTTATCCCAATAAAGTTATGTCACAACTCCCCCATATATATCAAAGCACAGCCAAATACGCGGCTTCCATGAGTAGCATATGAGCGTCTGTAGTGACCAGTTCGCCTAAAGGGCTCTTTTCACTTTCAACTATTCGTCCAAAAGTCCACGGCCCAAGCGTCTGTGTACATGCAGCCCAAACAGCACTGACGTATAAAGTGTATTAGTTGGAGTAAATACTCAGGACATACTTGTTCTACATGGGTCCCAAATGACAAACGCCTATTGGATCAGATTCATTAGGTGTTTTCTGATTTGCATCTCATAGTATGTGTACTTGTAGAATGCAGCGATGGATGGTTTGGAGATAACTGTGACAAGCAGTGCCAGTGTCAGAATACAGCTGAACTATGTGACAAGGAGACTGGCAACTGTAGGAGTGGATGTGCTGCCGGGAAACAAGGACCTGGGTGTCAGCAAGGTATGATAGAATGTGATATTAGGAAATCGTCCATCTGGTAGATTTTCTCACTTATGGTTTAGTATCAACGTAATTCTAAATTTATTTCTTTTGACACACATTGTTTGTACAGTGAAACGTTTCGTGATTCTGATTTTTCAAATGACTATAGTGATACATAGCTGAGAACATATAATGTCCTTGTGTGTGTATTGTATATTGTAGTATGCAACGATGGTTGGTTTGGCTCTGACTGTAACAAGCAGTGTCAGTGTCTAACTGCCTCTGAAGCGTGTAACACGGAGACTGGCCACTGCAGTAGTGGATGTGCTGCTGGGAAACAAGGTCCAGGATGCCAGCAAGGTTTGAAGAAAATCGATATATTACCAATTGTTTATCTGTATCAGTCTGATGAAAAGAAATCCATTCACAAAGAGTGGCAACTGATGCCATAATGGAGAACTCTACACTAGGTAGTCGTTAGATACATTAATTTCGCATTTAATGGCTTATGTAAATATAGTCATCAATTCAAGTTTTCCTTCATAAAACAGAGAGTATAAAGTCAAGACGCGTTTATCTAACCTATCCATACAGATTGTGGCCAACGTCGTTATGGCATCCAGTGTTCCTCTACGTGTGGTCAGTGTAGCGGGACGTCGGACTGTAAGAAGGATGATGGAACCTGCACAAAAGGATGTCAACAGGGGTACCTCTTCCCTTTGTGTAGAAGTGAGACATTTATTTTAAACTGCGTTCAATATGCCTAGTACTACAAGTAGTGTCATCAGAAACAAACTGAATCTTTATTCAGGATAGCTCGGGACAAGTGACATTGATCTCGTTTCAGATTGTAGTAGACATGTATTCAAAAGTAAATGTATTAGACTGGATAGACATGGTGATTATTTATTTCTTGGACTTTCTGGAAATGGATGCCACAGATTTTGCGAACACTCGAAGATCGCAGAGTTATGCTAATTGAAACCCGGGACTATGTCATCACTTAATATGGATCCATGTGTACAATATATCGTCAGTGTCCAAACGACGGTTCTTATAACATGGTTAATTGGTATATGTAATATTGACATTTCGAAATTTGACACATCAGTGAGAAAAATTATGTCCAATGCTATTCCCTATTTCGACCTGTACCATATACACCCTGTTTTTTTCAGCTGAACAATTGACTTGCTTATGCATGTTGTTGTTTTACGGGTGCCACTCTTCGGGCAGGATATGTTAACCTTTAACGAACACCTGTTATCATCACTATCTCTTAGTGATTCATAAACACATGCTCATATCATCGTACATGATTATGGAAAAGGCATCATCGCTCTTATTTAAACTCTTTTCCTTTATGTAAGAATGTTCTCAGAAGTGTTCCAAAATGAGAAGTATTGTTTATGAAATGTATATGCCGGTATAAAACAATACTCAGTTTTATAAATGTCAGGACCAGACAATATTCAGTCTCGATTATCTGCATACGAAGATTTCACTGCCAAATATGAGAGTTCTATGAATAGCATATGCGTTTATTTACTGAAGAACTCGGGCAAAGGGCACGTCTCACTTTCAACTACTGGTCCACAAGTCCACATAGTATAGCCTAATAGCGTCTATCCTGAAGATTTCGGGCAAAAGGCACTTTTCACTCTCAACTATTGGCCCACAGGTGCACATAGTAAAGCACATGAGCGTCTATCCTGGACAAATTTGGGCAAAAGGCACTTCTCTCTTTCAACTATTAGCCCACGAGGACACCGCCATGGCGACTGTGAATATCTCCATGTACATGCAGCCCGAAAAGAGTATCAGTTGGAGTATATAATCGGAATATTTTTGTACTACATGGACCCAAATGACAAACATTTATTGGATCAGGTCCATTATCTGTGCTTTGATTTGCACGTCATATTATGTTTATTGTAGAATGCAGCGATGGATGGTTTGGCTCTGACTGTGACAAGCAGTGCCAGTGTCAGGATACAACTGAAGTATGTGACAAGGAGACTGGCAACTGTAGCCGTGGATGTACTGCCGGGAAACAAGGGCCGGGTTGTCAGCTAGGTATGAAAAGTGTTGTGTTTACATGCAATACCAATTGTTTAACTGTAACCATCTGATGATAAGATTTTACGTGAGGTATATTTTACATGAAGTCATAAATTAAGTAATTGTTCAAAAGATAATTTGGTACGTTTTCATGTGAACGTGGTTATTATATAGTTATTATCTATTCAGGATTTCCTTCTAAAACACAGAATAAAACATCAAGAAGCGTTCATATCTCCCTATCCGTACAGATTGTGGCCAACATCTTTATGGGGTCAACTGTTCCTTCAAGTGTGGTCAGTGTAGCGGGTCGTCAGACTGTAAGAAGGATGATGGACACTGCACACAAGGATGTCAACAGGGGTACCTCTTCCCTTTGTGTAAAAGTGAGGAGTTATTTTATACAAAGTCAGTATTATTCAATGGACCCTGCTTTTAGATGAAATTTGTTATGATTGTGGAAATGAATGTTGTCGCTTCTATTAACAACGTTTGAAATGCCCGGTGTCATATGTCACGCTGTGGGTTTAAATAAGATGTGTAAATTCTAGCTAGTGTCATACTTACTATAACTTTAGAAGATCCGTCAGTGTTGTATTTTAGTAAATATCTATCTCTATTGTTAGGGCTCATGTAAAACACTATGGTGATGATCTCTAAGGCTGTGACATTTCGACATTTCATTTCAACAGCTGTTACGCATGGGTAAGTGTATTTGGTAACTGCTAAACGCTGTAGTGAAATATTTGACATTCTGTTTAAAGCCGAATTGCATAGATCTCAATGGGAAATGGTGTCATTAAAGTGGAAGATCATATAAGCATAAACTTTCCTTTTTATTTTCAAATTCCAAATCGAACTGCATGGCGATGTGACAATAGGTTTCCTCAAAGTTATCTTCTTTGTCGAAATGAAATCATGTGCGAAACGTAGCAGGTTCAAACAGCGGGATCGAGGAGGATGTTAATAAACTTCGGACACAATTTTTACCCCTGATTGTATGGCTTCATGTGTGTACAAGAGGTCCCGAAAATATTTCTTGACATATGATGAATTAGAAATGTAATGCTTGGTTTCACACAGTCTCTCTCTTTACATATGATTGTTCTGAAATTGTAGTTCTGTAAATGTCACAACACATTGTGTGTATGCCATATATTTATTTCTTAGTTATAACATTACGTAGATGTTTTATTGTTACCTTAGTCTTAACATTATGATTGTTCTGAATTCATATTACTGTAAATGATCCAATCAGTGTATGTATCCCATTTGTTTATTTCGTTGTTGAGAAAATGTGAAATCGAAGCTAGTTTAATGAAAATGTTTGGATTTATAACTAGTAGGATGAACATACCTATATCTAATATTAACTGAATGTTACCTTACTCCTATCCTCATACAGCATGTACACCTGGTTATTACGGGTCCACGTGTACATCACAATGTGGCCGCTGTCGGAACAACGCTATTTCTAACACGGCAGATTGGAGATATGGTGATGGGTGTCAACCTGGATATCAGAATCCACTGTGGCAAAACCTAATTGAACCAAGCCGCCATAGGATTAGAAAATTCCACAAAATGTATAAGTCAGATATATGTGCACGTAAACATCCCTGGGGCACTTTTAAATCTTTCTCTTTCTCAATCAAGACCAATTCATATAGTTAAGCTGAGAATCTACAAGATATTATTAAGTACTTACAATTAGGTAAGACAGTGAGACAATGCACGCTTTATGCAATTTGTCTCTCAATATGTTGTATATCTCTTCAAAACGTATCTAGGTTTGATCCTATATTAGAGAAATGCATGTACACCACAATTGTCTTAACAGCTCATAACAGTGTCTTTTGGAACACTGTTGAGATGATGTTTTCACTGAAAAAATCGTATAAGATGTCCAAGTAGCTTTCAAAATATTTCAAGAAGGCAATGGAAATCTACATCAACCAAGCAACTGCGAGAAGAAGCGATTACAAGTGAAATTTTACAGTTGCAGTTATACCCTTTCAGTTCCAAGAGCGAGACTGCGCATTGATCTGTACATCTCTATTCGTGAATCAGTCCATACTTCATTCCACCTTTATACATGTCACTTATTACAAAACAATCTCACCATGAAAGGTTT